CTGAAATGAGGAACAAGTAGGATTAGCTGGCAAAGATAGCCTATGATTTAATTGGTATTACAGAGACTTGTTGAGACAACTCATAACTGAAACATTAACATTAAGAGATATACTTCATTTTGGGCAGATAAGTTTGGGAACAAAGTATTACATTATATGTCAAAAATATATACACTTGTTCTCTGGCAGAGGATGAAGAACATAGCAGATTGGCATGTATTTGGGTGAAGGGAAAGGTGGAAAAGAATAGTTTTGATGTTATTTGAAATGTGTTATGGTATGCCTGGAAGTGGGTGTCAGGAGCACTGCCAGGCAGCCCAACAGGGCTAATTGGTTAGTTAGCCAAACCTGCTTAGGGCTCTGATTACCCAGCTAATGAACTAGATGGCCACTGTTAGGACCTCCAGAGTGACTGATGGAGAGAGCAGCCTCCCCATTTACCCTTTTGGCAGCAGATTGAAGACAAACCAACAGTTCTGTAGAAGGTCTGCTGTGGGAATACTCCCTGAATTGCTTCTTGCCTTTTGTCAGCTGAGATTGGGTGCACACCTGAATTTACAGATGCTGGGGAGGGATCCCAAGTGGCTGCAGCAAGGGGCGACAGAGGAGGAGACTGCAGGAACATCCTGATCATCTGGATCTGCATACACCTATGTGGTGAGAGCAGATCCAGTGGTTTTGTACATGGTAATAGGTGTGAACTGCGCAATCGGAGGACAAGATATGGCAGCAAATGACCCTGGCCATAATAACGAATGGCAAATCAAGAATCAACATTGGAAGAAGGCTAGGTAGATGGAGGACAAGGAACAGTGGTGGACCAACAGGTAATGGCAATCGGAGGATGGACTACTGCATGTGATGAGCAACAGATGGCAAACAGAGGATGGAAAATGGCTGGAGTACAGTGATTTTTCAGCTTGCAGAGGACAGACCAAAGCAGTGAGGAGTAGGGGACGACAGGTTCTGGTACAAGCAATCTTGGGTGCAGCAGAAGCAACTGAGAGAGCAGAGATGACCCCGTACGAGTTTTGCTATGACATTGTACTTGGGGTGCTGAAAGTACAGCCCGGTGCTTTGAACAGTTTGATAACACTTCAAAATAACAAGTTGTGGGAGTTGAACTTCAGCAATACCAGGGCATATGAACAATTTTGAGAAAGATACTGAGGAACAAAACAGACTGGAATTAAAGTGGATACAGCTTGCGGGTTCAGAGATGGTGAGAGAATGGGTGGTTACAATCAGAATGCTTTATGATCTAGTTCACTTAGAAGATGTGGAAATCTGGTTAAGCACATCTTGTGAGATGGTGGATTTTGTGGACAAACCACAGGATGTTTTTTGCATATGAAGAGGAGCATGGAGGGTGAATGTATTACTGAAAGCAGATCCCATGAACACAGAAGGAATCTAGAATTTCCCTCAGTGATCACATTAGGCATGCATCCTGGATTTGTGATTTACTTTGTGCAACATATAGTGTTCAACAAGTGTGAGGAGACAAGCCACCTGGCACTCCACTGCCTTCAAACCATCTGTTTTAACTATGAGGAGAAGAGGCACGTGACAGGGAAGTGCCAGGGAAAAGGAACTTGAATTTGTGTGGGAAGGAGAGGCATGTATTTTGGACATGCCCCAAGTCCTTTTCAAGTAAAAAAAGATTCCCAAAACCAGCACAAGAAGAGGAATTAAGGAAAGAAAGAAAGAAAGAAGAGCCAGGAGAGGTGGAATGGACACCTGAGAGGGAGGAAGAGGGAGATGACCTTGAGATTAACATAGAAGAGGTGGATCAAGGCACAGAAAAACTGGGGAAGGAGATGGACACAAGATATAGGGGGAGTGGAAAAACAGAAGTGAAACCAGGAAGGAAGGTGAATAAGATCAGGAGGGGGAAGGAAAGAAAGTGGGAGAGTCAGAGGAGAAGGAAGAAGAAAGGGAAATTGGCAGGAAAGATTAATAAAAAGAGTGAAAAAGGGAAGAAGCCTAAGACAAGTTGAGATAGGGGAGCAGAAGGGGGACCTGGGGAGGATCCAGATTTCCCCCGCTATCAGATGGGTGACAAAGATATTGAAGAAAGAGATAGGTAAAGCACTGGAGAAGTTTTTAGATAAACAAAGAATCAAACATTTTGAGGAGGCAATGGGAATCTGATTAAGGGAGGAGGAGGATGACCCAAACATTACTGCATTTTTAGCAGTGGCACTGTTTAATGTGAGAAATGATTTTACTTGGAAGTTGTGGGATTGGGTAGAGACCTTCCTGGACTATGTGAATGCAGATCTTTTGTGCTGGCAAGAGTGTGGGCAGCCAAGTAACCTGGATCACAGCACTTTTGAGAGTGATCATAGCACTTTTGAAGTGAAGGTGGAGGGCACCCGTGGTGGTCGGGTACGCATGGGAATAGGGTGGCAGACGAAAATTGTGAGTGGCGGGAGTGATTGGTAGCAGACTGTTGCACATGATGGAGGAGGATGGGGGAACAGAAATAGATTTTTTTTTAATGTCTACACACCTCTGGAGAGACCCCAGGTGCCAGCTCTTTCGGGAAGTGGCAATTTGTGTGGTGAGTGGAAGGGCCTGGGTGGTGGCTAGGGATTTTAACTGTATAACCAGTTGAGCGATAGACAAAAAAGGAGGACAGGCTAGGGGTTTGGATAGCATGGGAAGGGTGCTGTGTAACATTTTAAAAGAGGCAGTTTTAAAAGATGCTTGAGTGCAAGGGAAGAAAAATTGGTTACAAGAGTGGACCCCAGAGCATAGGTGTACTCTCATTGATTTTATTTGTATCTCAAAAGATTGTAAAGCAATCAAGAAGGCCACTTACATCCTGGTCCTTACAGCAGGTTGCTTAACCTGCTAAATTCTGTAAGTGGGTTCAGTCACTGAGGAGCTCCTCAGCCAGTGTGCCCAAGCAAAGCACAATCTTTTAAATAAACCAACAAACAAACAAAGCCAAATCATTCTGCCCTCTCCCAGACACAAGGAGGGAAGCCTGTTTGCTCTGGTCCCAGCCCCACAGCTTATCCTGTCCTTGCAGCACCCTGGTTCTACTCACTTCTTGCTTCCTCCTCTCCCTTGCTTACCCTTTTGGAAACTTTTACAGCTTCCAGTGGGACAGTCCCTGCTTCTCCAAATGTCCCACAATTGGGCTTTCTCAACAAGGCTGGCTGTTCCTTCTAAAAGAGACTGTTACACCATCAGGAAGAAGATATGGATGAGGCACTCTTCAAGGAGCTAAAAAAATTATGCAAACATTAGGTTCCATGAGAGGACAAAAGATAAAGGAGCCCAGGAGGGATCAGAGTTTCTAAAATACATGGTACTGGAAGCTCAAAAAAAAGCTACTCTGACATGATGGAAGCACAAGAACAGCAGGAGACCATTATGGCTGCAAAAGAAGCTTCTTGGATGCTTCAAAATCAAAATGGAAACATACAAACAATGGAAGGTCAGCAGGTCACTAAGGAAGCATACCAGCAAAGAGCAAAAACTGTCATGAACGCAAAGATAAAAATGAGTTACATCTGGCAATGGAAGTTAAGGACAGCAAGAAGTGGGGTCTATACATACATTGGTCGGAAATGAAGAGCTAAGAAACTTCTGAGTCAACTTAAATAGGGTGAGTTATTAACAAAACACACAGAGGAGGAATTGTTCAGTCTTCACAAAAAAAAAAAAAAAGCTGCAACCAGGCAGCTAATAAAAATCATATAGACAAGGAAGGGAAAAGGCTGAGGATCCTGATAATAAAAGAAAACTTCAGAGAGCTTTTGAATTAATTCAAGTCAGCATGGCTTGATGAAATTCATCCCACAGTATTCTTTGCTGAATAGCAAATCCATCCACATAGCAGCCTACAAATTTCTTGCCAACAATTTCTGTCTGTCCACAACAACTGCCAACATGTCAATAAAACCCAGTGGATATCTCCTTTTATTTCCAGTTTTTTTGAAGTCTTTGGTGTGCTAATCCTGCAAAGGACAGAAGCTCATTGCAGGCACTTCAGAGAAGGAAATAAAGCCAAACCAAGTCATAGCACTGCTAAACAAAAAAAAGATATTCTCCAGGAGGGAAAGGATGGCTGCTGGGGTAATAAAGTGCATTGTTCCTATTAAGGAAGTGAAGTTATCAGTCACCAGTAGGGTGGCCATCATAGAGGACAGTCTGGTTGTCCTCTGCCCTCTATTGATATGAAACCAGGCACCTTTGTCCTCTATTTTTTTCATCAACAAGGCGCTGCGCAAAGTCTGGAACTTGATTTTACAAAATCAGAAGCCCAATGAAAACTGCCTAGTTGTAAATCTTGTGAGTGTTTTCCCGGAAATCAGAAGAAATCTAAATGTAAATTGTAGTTTGGGGAGGTATGGGGTCATCTTATCATTTAGGGATATTGACTGAGCATAACTGGAAGTAAGAAAGTGCTATGCCCTTAGGGAAGCTATTGAGAATGGTAGGACCAGGCAGTGGTAGGAAGCTGTACTCTGGTGTGGGTGGATCCTGGTTACCAAAGATTTTGTCTGGCTTTTTATGTATGGTACATTCTGTGATCCTGTAAGTACACAGGGATTGATGGCTGAGAGTCAGTAGTGGCCACAGTCAGGTGTATTTGCATCAACCTCATAAAATGATAATTAAGATATTGGATTGCAGAGGCATGTTAAAATCACTGTCCTAAAATTCACAATAATCCAATTACAATGCATCATGCTGATTTTTGGAACAATGCAAATCCATACATTTCAGTTCTGTGTATACACTAGAAAAAGGCTATGTCATCAGAGTGGTCATGATAGAAAATAGAGTTAAACTAATATGCAGGCAAATGAGACAAAGTTACCAAAGAGACAATATTTCTTTCCATTATCTTACCTTCTCTTCCTTGGTAGCTCCTCCTCCTTCACCAACATTTGTGTCATGAGGTTGCATCTCTAACACAGTGCGGAAGAGTTTCTCCGAGGTTTGAGTTAAGAACCCAATTTCAGCATTTGGATGGAGACCATAAAGATATGGAGACTCAGCAGGTAGGGCATCATCTATATACTACACAGGAAGACCAGACCTCATATGAGTGATATACAATATATGGGTTTTGCCCTAGGGGCAGGATTCTATTTCCCTCTATGAACCTGAATGGCAGTTTTCTGGCCACATAAGTGACATTTTTTGGCACCAAAATACTGAACCTTTTCCTGGGAATTTATTTTCTAGTAATGGCAAGTCTTACCAGTTTTATTGTTAATAAAAACAACCTAATACACTTGTCCCTGATGCTACCTTTACATATAAAGAACAGATTAAATCAGTAACTGTATCTTCAAGAATCCTACTTTCTCTTCACAGCAGACCAAAACAAAAAAAAAAAGGTTGAAAGACCCATTTTAGCAAACAGCACGTGGATGTAGTTTTTCATGAGACCGTCTCAAGTCCCAGGAGCCAATAAAATTGTTTTATTACTGCAGGACTGTCCAGCTGGTGGTCTGTGGGCTGCATGCAGGCCTCCAAGTCTCCATGATCCTGGTCTGTGCACTGTTCCCCACACCACTAGCTGTTGTTGCCATAGTTGGAGGCTCCGGCTTTCCCCTCTCCCCTCCAGCTTCTGCATCCCACCCTTACTCCTGGTGGCAGGGTGGGGCTGAGGGAGTCCATGGCTGAGTGCTTGAGGGAACCTGGGGACCTCATGAAGCACAGGATCACCAGCATGATATGGCTTGGGAGGCACACAGTGCTGTGTGTGGGGCATGAGGCATTGGCATGGTGTAGTGTGGGAACCACATGGCATGATGCAGCATGTGGCCACTAAGAAAATTGACAGCCCTGTATTAACAGAATGTATGAACAGTATGAGCTCATGATGAAGTATCAAATTACCATTAAACTTAGATTCTATACATGGAGAATTATAAATTTCCATTTCCAGCGGTGGGAAAGGAAAGTGGCCAGGTAGTGGGGGGGGAGGGGCAGCCTTCTTGGTCTCCTTACACTTCCCCCCCAGACTGTACACTGCGGGTCTCTCCTCTGTGCCCTTCCCCACTGCATGGTGCAGTCTCTCCCACACTTTTCTCACCACACACCCCTATCCCTCCTCCACGAACCACCGTATCCCAAGTCAGGCAGCAGATCAGCTCTGCCTTCAGCCCCAATCCGAAACCTAAAGCCAGAGCTGAGCTGTGACTGCACCAGGCTGGTACTTGAATCTAAAATGAGACATTTTTTTCCCCTCGCATGGTGATTATGGAAAAAAAAATCATCTTGGGGTGATATTATATGTTACGATTAGACCATGTAAGAGCACTTAAAACTTGAATGATCTCACATTGAGGCTTGTTAACAAGCGTTAAGTGCTCTCTAGGTATCTTAAAGGTATGCCACTTTGGGCAAGGGCTATCTCTGAGCTGTTACGCATTCTGAGTTAAGTTAGGATTTATTACACAGTAGTTTTTGGCAGCTCCTCAAGCTCTTAACACCTTGATTCTCCATGCATTAACATCTGAAATTAGTTTTAAGTACTTGTTAGGCAGCTCAAAGTTATGTTACTCCAGGACAGGATTATCTCTGATTCCTGTTACCCAGCTCATGTTACACTAAGGTGTAACCACTCTACCTTAGTGTAAACACCCCTACACATCCCACCCCACCATTGCCCCACTGTTCCCTCCTGTCCTCCCCAGTACCCCAGATCCATGCTCACTGCTTCCCACTTACTTGATTCTGCCTGTGCTGGCTGTCCCAATGGAGCAGGCAGGGCAGGGTTAACCCTCAGCCACCACTCTGAGGGGCAGGAGAAGAGCCCCTGCAGGAGGGGAGAACTGGGGAAGCCCCAGGGGGGAAGAGGGCAAGGGGGAATCTTGGAATGGGAGTGGCAGGGGTTCTTACCTTTCAGTCCTCCAGACCCCTGCAGGCCTGAATGTGTGACTGCTCCAAACTTGAGCTAGCGCTAACACTCACTAATATTTGTGCAGCTCACAGTGTAATGTGTAACAAGGCCCTTAATTTCTGTTCACCTGAGATAAAACCACCAATCTACAGTCCTCCAGTATCCCAGGAGGCACTGTTCCCAAGTGGACTAGCTATCATCCAGGACTCTATGGGCACCTATACACTTGCCCCATGCATACTCCAATATATGCTATTTACCAAACTCCAGCAGCCTCAGCGTCACATGTATTCAGTGTCCTTATACTTCAGAATGGAGGTGGGGTGCTTTAACTAAAGCTTGTCAAATGAACTTTAGTTAAATTGCCCTCGCTTCCATTTTGAAGCACAGGATGAGATGCGGCAGGTGCTTTAATTAAAGCAGCTCCAGAGAGCCACTGTAATTAAAGTGTCCCTTACCCCTACTCCGGAGCACATGTAAAGATGTCTTATGACGCGGGACTGACAGCTAGGGATAGTTGGGCAGTGGGTGAGTGGGGAGAAGATGAGAGGGGAGAGAGGAAAAAGGGGTAGAAGGTGTAATGATAGGGGTAGAAGGGGTGTCTTTAACAGAGGCAGAGTCAGAGACAGAACTGGAGAGAGAGGGTCTGATGGTTGTGTGCATCTGTGCTGTTAGCATGAATAAAGAAGCCTTTTAGTAAAAGGAGGTCCTGCCACTATAAACAGAACCTACAACACAGCATGGAGGAGTGATTGAAAACAGGTGACTATTGCATGGAGTGAGCTTTAAGAGAAAAAAAAGAAAAAAATGGAACAGCTATGGGCTTCAGCAGGGCTGAAATTCTCTAGGCATGTGGCAGAGAACTGGAAAAGGTTTGCATAACAATTCAATCTATATATGAGGGCAAGTGGAGACACTGAGAAGTTACCAAAAGGTATTTTTCTGACTATAACAGGTGCTGAGGTGCTGGATGATTTTAACAGTCCAACAAAGCATACTGATTGTGAGACAGTGCTCAAAAAGCTTAAGGAGTACTGCATGCCAAAGAAGAACAAGACTTTAGAAAGATATCAATTCCATATGAGGTTACAAAGAGAGAGAAACCTTTGAGGAATTTGAAAAGGATTTCAGAATGCTAAGTCAATCTTGCAATTTTGGAAAAGTTACAGACTTAATGATTAAAAATAAGATAAAAATAGGGATCATAAACATGCAGCTCAGGAAAAGACTGCTGAAGGATCCGGATCGCCAGCTAGATGAAGCAATCAGCATGCACATAATAGCAGATATCACCTGGGCTAAAAGGAAATCTTTGAAAGGAAGGCCAGATGCTGAAATTGTTGATGGAATAATGAACTCTCCCAGAAAAGAACAGAGATAAAACAGAAATTGCAAGGCAAGACCTGAAAAATGCTATCAGGTAAAACTGAAGAAAAGCAGTATAAAGAGCTATATAAGCTGTGGTAACAAACAGAGACCACAGCAATATCTTGCTTTTGGACAACACTGCAACAAATGCATAAGACTGAACCATTTTGCTACAGTGTGCAAAAGAGAGGACTAAAGGCACAGAAAGGAACGCAAGTAAGCATTGTACACAGAGATGATCCCAGCAGGGAACAGGGCCCAGGGCAAAGCAGCCTGCATGGGGCTCCCCTCCCCATCCCACAGCACACTTATGCTGGGGAGTGAAAGCCCTGGCACACCGAAGGTGGCAGGACAGGTGGCGTCTGGAACTTCTGGCTGCAACAAGCACAGAGCTGTCCAACCCATCAAGCGGGTGGGCTAAACTGCATCCACGGCCTCTCCACCCAGCTCTGCGGGGCCCTCCCAAAGTGTGGGACCCACGGCGGTTGCCCCAATTTGCCCCCCACTAGGGACGGCCCTGACTGTACAGCAAGATGAACTGCAATATTGCAATCAGCAATGAAGAGGAGCTGTATGTAGGAATAATACAAGTTAGCTCCACCCCCCACCTGCCCCAAGTTCCCCCGACCCCTGGCCTGGCTGGCTCCATCCTCCCCATCCCCCCAAGGCCCC